TATATTGAATATTTGCAATTGCCTCCTAAAAGTACCCTTAGTTAAAACTTGGTTTTTCTTGGCTGAGAAGTGAATTCAAGGTCTTGAGTTAGTGCTCTACCACTGTGCAGAACGCCAGCCTAAAGCGGGTTTTTAATAGTTTCATCTCTTCCTGTAAAAATATTATCTTCATAATTAAAGTCAGTCAAATATAAACTTTACCATTATTTCATCCTTAATTCGCCAACTGAGATGGTTGAACTTCTTTTCAGACTTCAGCAAGTCAACAGTAAGACTTCCAAATGAAGCACGGTATCCCACCCTTTTCCACTATTCAGACATACATTAAGCCTCACAATGATAATACAAAGCTCTTCCTTTTGCGAGATGCTATATTCAAATAATTAACCCAGATATATTAGATATTTTCCCCAAGACTTTCCTTTACAGTAATTTGTGCCAACAAAAACATCATTTGCTAAGCAATAACAAACAAAGCATTTTTTTTACTTAGAATAATATAAGCCTCACATTAAATACATATTGAGCTAGTCTTTTTGGCAAAGCTTTTCTATAGTAACCAATACATATATATTAGTCTAAGTAAGGTCTACTTCCTACAGGAAACGTCAACAGGCAAAAATTAGCAAACATTAAACATCATATTTAAGCCGGGTGGTGGTGGCGCACGCCTTTAATCCCAGCACTCGGGAGACAGAGGCAGAGGCAGGCAAATCTCTGTGAGTTCGAGACCAGCCTGGTCTACAAAGCTAGCTCCAGGACAGGCTCCAAAGCCACAGAGAAACCCTGTCTCGACAAACCCAAAAAAAAAATCATATTTACTTTTCAAAATCTTCTAAAGATTAGTTGTACAATCCAACTGGAATTGTTGTAATAATCTTATTGTTTCCAGGTTTAAAAAATGATTAAACATTACTGAAATTCTTTATGTAAAATAAAATTATATGAAAAGAAAAAATGCTGATCTTTTGCTGACACATAGCTTACAGATTCTCATTTTATTTATTTCAATAGTTTATTCCAGCAGAGGGAGAAGATTATATGAGAAGATGATTAGTTGATCTCTTTATAAATAAATAGCTCCCTCCACCATATGGAAAATTTTGTAGAAATTATACAAAGCAGTAAGTTTATCTTTCAAAACTAAATTAACCTGATTTTTAACAGTTGATAGGTATTTGCAATTAACCAATAGTGTAGCAAAAGCTATTCTCAATTCTAAGACCTCCCTAAAGTTGATCACTGTATTATAAATATCCAAAGAGAAAGAGAGAAGGGTTAACTATGGAAGGAAGGAAGCACACATGTGAATTAGATTGAATGGGTAACTATGGAAGGAAATGCACACGTGAATTTTAAACATCAGCAATGCCAAAAAAGGGAAGCTAACATTTCCTACATTAGGTATGCAATGGTTATTACCTGTTGAGCTGACATGTTTGCCCAAAACAGAAAAAAAAAAAGAGGAGCAAGAGAATTTTTATTTTTCAATGGCAAGAACTCTTACCTATGTTTGTAAACAATAAACCCAAGAGAAGAGTTTTTATAATAGTAATTTTATGTTACTTCCTAATTTGTAAATGCAAAGCAACAAACACTATGCTTTCTGACCAAATGCATGGGGATTTTTCAGAGCAGAGGGGTTCACAAGGACTTCTCAACACAAATAACTTTTTATTGATATTTATTGAGCTCTACATTTTTCTCTGCTCCCCTCCCTGCTTCTCCCCTCTCCCATCAATCCTCCCCCAAGGTCCCCATGCTCCCAATTTACTCAGGAGATCTTGTCTTCTTCTACTTTCTACTTCCCATGTAGATTAGATCTATGTAAGTCTCTCTTAGTGTCCATATTGTTGTCTAAGTTCTCTGGGATTGTAATTTGTAGGCTGGCTTTCTTTAAAAACCACCTATGAGTGAGTACATGTGATAATTGTCTTTCTGTCAACACAAATAATTTAAGGGGAAACTGTACCCAAGTTTCTGAACAACTACATCATTATTCCTCCAAATTCCAACCCTAACCTTTAGGGGGAAATGAATTATTCTCTATTAATATGATGTTCTGTTATGGGAATCGAAAGGAAATTTTAACTGTAATCCTTTCTGTTTCAAGAATTTTAAGCAATAGCTATATATATATCCAAGTGAAAACACTACTAAAATGAAATTTTTAACAATAAAGTTTTTAATTATGAAACCATAGGTGTGATAATCTATTTAGGCAAAGATTAAATTAATTGTTTACTACAGAAATATGACTGAAAAAAGAAATTAAACTTTTATATAAAAATAAAATAGAACAGAAAGAAAAAGGCATAGTTGATGGGCTGTTGTAAAAATATTGATATGTAGTCATAAAATAATTTATAAAGAATAAGTAATTTAACTTATGTTTTCTGGCTCACACCTTTAATCTCAGCTCTAGGGAGGTAGAGGCATGATAGACGTCGGTGAGTTCCAGTTCAGTTGGTTTACATAAATAGTCCCCAAGCCAACAGGGGCTACATGTATGACCCTGTCTCAAAACTGACAGAAAGAAACATTTAAAAGCATGTCTTACACTCTGTTCTATGATATGCACTAGATTGCGTGTGAGTATGCTTAAATGACAAGAAATTATGAAAACATTTTACAAGCAGAGTGCAGTCTCTCATACCTGTAAACCACCACTAGAGAGCCTAGGACAGGAGAATTCAGAGTTTGAAGGCAGCCAAGGAATCGTGATATCAACGCTAGCCTGGGTTGCGTAGCTCAGCTCAGTCTCAAAAAAAAAAAAAAAAAAAAAAAAAGAAGGAAGGAGGGAGGGAGGGAAGGGGCTCGCTGGGATGGACGAAAAACTGATAAACCAAACAAAACACGATTTAGAATGACATCAATCAAACAAGACATGGAGAAAGACAACTGGTCGACCTATGTTAACAAGAAATTATGAAAACATTTTACAAGCAGAGTGCAGTCTCTCATACCTGTAAACCACCACTAGAGAGCCTAGGACAGGAGAATTCAGAGTTTGAAGGCAGCCAAGGAATCGTGATATCAACGCTAGCCTGGGTTGCGTAGCTCAGCTCAGT